ACTGCATAGTATTCCATTGTGTGCATTTCTCAATCCATTTGTTTGTTGATGGGCTGTTTAGGCTGTTTCTATCTTCTTGCTATTGTGAATAATGCTAGTATGAACATAGGTGCATATATCTCAGTTTGTGTCTCAGTTCTAATTTCCTTAGGGTATATTCCTAGCAGTGGAATAGCTGGGTCATATGGGATTTGTATGTTCAACTCCTTGAGGAAATACCAAACTGCCTTCCAGAGTGGTTGTACCATTTTACAATCCTACCAACAGTGTATGAGAGTTTCAATCTCTCCACATCCTCTCTAACATTTATTATTTGCTTTCCTGTTAAGCTTCACTATGGCTGTGGGGTTGAGATGGTATCTCATTGTGGTTTTTAATTGTATCTTTCTGATTGTCAGAGATTGTATTTCTTCATGTGTCTGTTTGTCATCCAAATGTCTTCCTTAATGAAAAGTCTTTCTATGTCTTTTGTCCATTTTGTTATTGGGTTATCTCTAATTTTCTTGTGTAGTCCCTGTAGTATTCTGTAGACTTTCATTATGTGACCCTTGTCTGAGATGTCATTGCCAAATGTAATTGTGTTATCAGTCTTTTTCTTGTGGTATTGCCAAATGTTGCCCCCCCCCCCCCCCCCGCCCAATCAGTAGGTTTTCTTTTCACTCTGCTGGAAAACATTTTTGATCCACACAGGGGTTTAATCTTTAGAAGGGCTAATTAATCAATTCTATCTTCTCCAGATTGAGCATTTCTGACTGTATTTGGCAGTCTCTTTATACCTTAGACTAAGCTGTTGAAGCTTGATCTCAGTTTGTTTCTTATGAACTTTGTGGTTTTGGGCTTTACTCCCAGGATTCTGATCTACCTTGAGTTGATTTTTGTATATCGTGTGAGATATGGATCCTGATTCAGCTTTCTGCAGGAAGCAGTCCAAATTTGTCAGCACCATTTGTTGAATAGGTTGTCATTTCTCCATTTGATAGGTTTTATTTCCTTGTAGAATATCCATTGACCATAGATAGCTGGGTTTATTTCTGGGTTCTCAATTCTGTTCCATTGGTCTATATGCCTGTCATTGTGCCAGTGCTGTGCTGCTTTGGTTACTACCACTGTAGTAGGGTTTGAGGTCAGGTAGTGTTATGCCTCCCACTTCATTTTTGTTTTACAGAAGTGCTTTGCTTATTCTGTGTCTCATTCCTCTCCAAATAAACTTGAAAATTTTCCTTTCAATCTCTTTTAAAATGAGTTTGGTATTTATATCAGGATTGCATTGAACATGTAGATTGATTTTGGTAGGATTGTCATTTTCACAATATTGAGTCTTCCTTTCCACAAACAGTGCACATTTTTCCATTTCTTTAGGTCTTTTATTTTGTCTCACAGAATCATTCTGTAGTTATTCTCTGTATAGGTCTTTTGTGTCTCTAGTTAGATTCACTCCCAAGTATCTCAATTAGTGGTTGCCTATTGTAAATAGTATTGCTCTCTTGGTTTCCTTCTCTGAGTTCTCGTTGTTACTGTAGAGGAATCCCACTGATTTTTGGATATTGATCTTATATCCTGTCACACTTCTAAATTGGACTACTCATTCTAACAGGTTTTTTATTAATCCTTGGGATTTTCTGTGTACACTATCATATCATTTGCATATAGTGACAGTTTAACCATCTCTGCTGATTTTGATGTCTTTTATTTCCTTCACATGTCATATTGCCCTAGCAAGCACTTGCAGTTCAACATTGAATAGAAGTGGCAATGATGGGCATCCTTGTTTGGTTCCTGTACAAAAGGAAAATGCTTTACTCTTTTTCCATTGAGAATGATATTGGCTCTTGGTTTTGCATATATACTTTTCACTATGTTGAGGAAATTCCCTTCTATTCCAATTTTTCTGAGGGTCTTTATCAGGAATGGGTGTTGGATTTTGTCAAATGCCTTTTCTGGTTCAATGTCTAAGATCATCATAAGTTGGTCCTTGATATTTGCTTTGTTAATATGGTGAATTACATTGATTGTTTTTCTTATGTTGAACCACCTTTGTGTACCTGTTATGAATCCCACTTGGTCATGATGAATTATTTTTTTATGTGCTTTTGGATTCCATTGGCTAGGATTTTTGCATTTATATTCCTAAGAGATATTGAGCTGTAGTTTTCTTTATTGGTAGTGTCTTTGCCTGATTTGGGTATTAGGGTTATGCTTGCTTCATAGAATGTCTCTGGGAGTGTTTCTTTTTTTTTTCCTATTTTTGAAATAATTTAAGTAAAACTGGTGCTAGATCTTCTCTGAATGTTTGGTAGAATTAAGCTGTGAATCCATCTTGTCCAGAACTTTTCTTGTAGGGAAGTCTTTTTATGACCTGTTCAATTTCTTCTTTTGTGATAGGTCTGTTCAAGTGTTCTATCTGGATAGGGCATGAGCTTCAAGGACTTTATCAATTTCCTCTAGGTTTTCCAATTTATCCAAGTATAGCTTTTAATAGTATTCCAATATTATAGATTTAATTTTGTCTGCTTCTGTTGTGATGTTTCTATAATTTCTTAATAGCGTTATCTGTTTATTCTCTCTTCCTCCCTTTTATTAAGTTTACCAGTGGTTTGTCTATTTTACTGACCCTTTCAAAAAACCAGCTCCTAGTCTTATTGATGGTTTCATTGTTTTTCTGTTCTCTAGCTCATTGATTTCAGCTCTTGTCCTTTCTTCTAGAGGCTATAGGATTAGATTGTTGTTCTTTTTCTAGTTGATGAAAGTGTTGAATTAGACCATTGATTTTTTTTCTTTCTTCCTATTTTATGTGTGTGCCTATTGCTATGAACTGCCTCCTGAAGACTGCCTTAGCTGTGTCCCAGAGGTTTTGGTATGTTATATTTTAATTTTCATTTGTTTCAAGGAAATTTTTTATTTCATTCTTTATTTCTTTTATAGCCCAATTATGTTCTAGCAGAGTTATTTGCCTTACACATGGGTGATTTTGTAAGCTTTATCCTACTGTGGTTAATTTCTAGTCTTATGGCATTGTGATCTGAGAAGATACTTTGTGTTATTTCAATGTTTTTAAATTTGTTGAGGTTTGCTTTGTGTCCTAATATATGATCAGTTCTGGAGAGTGTACCATGTGCACTTGAGAAGGAAGTGAATTGAGTTTTAGTTGGGTGCAGTACCCTGAATACATCCACAAGGTCGAGTTGGCTGATTATGTAGTTTAAATCTTATTCATCTTTGCTAATTTTCTTTTGAGTTGACCTATCCTTTGGTGATAGTGGTGTGTTGAAGTCTCCTACCAATATTGTGTTGCTATTTCTTTCTTCAATTCTATTAACCATTGTTTTACCTATATTGAAGGTCTATCATTTTGGTGCATAAATGTCGACCAACGTTATATCTTCTTGATTTATTGTGCCTTTAATCAGTATGGTGGTTGTAATTCTGAAATCTATTTTATCAGAGATTAATATTGCCACTCCTGCTCTTTTGTGGTTGCCATTTGCTTGGTATATTTTATTTCCAGTCTTTGATTTTTAATCTTTCTCTTCATTTTTTTTATTTTTTAAAAATTTTCTTTTTTATTGATATTTTAATAAAAGTTATGGAAAACTTGGATTTCCATTCATTTATTGTTATACAATTTCTTCCCTCCCCTACTCCCTCAATCTACTTTGCTATGTACCTCTTATTATGGACCATTGTCATGCAAATACTACCTAATCATATGTTCTTTTTAAACAGTTCTTTCCCGCATCTGTTTCAATGAAGTGTTCATTGTTTATCCCTTTTCCACAGTTTCCCCATGAACCCATGTCAGTCATGTTTTATAACAGTTGCATTATGCAGTATTTGTTCTTTTGTGACTGAGATATTTCACTCAGTCTTCCAAGGTCACTTATTTTGTAGAATATTTTATGAGTTCCTTGTTTTACAGTACTGTGTAGTGTTCCATTGAATGAATATATCACATCTGTATCTATTCATTTATTGATGGGCACTTGGGTTACTCCATCTCTTTGTTATTGTAAACAACACAACAGTAAACATAGATATGTATATATCTGTTTGGATAGCAGTTCTGGTTCCTTTAGGGTATATACTCA